CAAAATCTGACTTAGAGTACTTTTGTATAAAGACAAGTTAATCACTTTGTGAAAGTCTGTAAAATATTATAAATTTATTTTAAATTTTTCAATAAAGACACACAATTGTGGCATGATTGCAGGTTAAAAAAAAAAAAAAAAAAAAAAAAAATTTCATATATTTTTAAAAAATTTCATTATGAAAAAACTCCAGAGTTTTTTATTATAAAAATTTTTCCTTATAAAAATTTTCAAAGATCTTCAAAGATTTCTGAAGATTTTTTTGAAAATTTTCGAAAATTTTTTTATGGTAGAGATCTCCAGGAGATTTCTACTCAAAAAATTTCTTGATGATAAATAGTTAGCCTTGTATCATTAAACAGAAAATAATAAAAAGAGAAAATTCAAAAAAAATATACAAAAGATAGTTAAAAAAAAATTGAGTTTTATAAGTACAAATAATAAAGTTAATAAGAAAAAAATAATTAGCAAACCTAAAACTTACCAAAGTTAAAGTATACTCCAATAATTCTTATAATAAAAAACCAAATATCTTAACTGAAAAATTCACAAAACTTTTATTAATCAAATAAAGAGATCTTGATATTCACAAGATCATTATAGAGATAAGATAATAAAACAAGATTTTAGATGATCTAATTAAGCAGTTTATCTAAAATCTGAATACAAAACAATAGCCTATCAGTGAATTTAGTAAAATCGAATAAAGAAAAAATAAAGTCACCAAATTTTAGAATAGTAAGTCCACATATGATATTTAGTATGGAAAAGAATGAACTATCAATATTATATAAATTGATGGGTACGAATATTGAGCTTAATAAAGAAAAAAGAATTAGATTTAAATCTTATCAAGATTAAAACACATTCCAACATTCAAAATAATGAGAAAGCAGACATTTTAACCAAAGAAGCATTAAAGTTCCCAACAATAGAATGGCAAGATTTAGATTCATCTAAGATTATTATCGAAATCAAATGGCAAGATATAGTGCTGGATGCTTCAATAAGACAATTTGTTAGAAAAATCAATACCAAAATAATAAAGTACCAATTGACAACCCAAAATAGAATAGATAAAAAGTGGAGTTATCAAATCCAAGATCAACACAGGTACATATGGAATCTAGTTTGGAAACAAATGAATAATGGGTACACATGGAATACTTTCTTTAAAGAATCACAAAGAAAAAGCTTTCTTGTTAAGATGATCAGTGATGAGCTACCCATGTTAACAAAACTAGTCACAAGAAGACCAGACTTATACAAACAAGTAAAATGTCTCATATATGAACAGTAAAAAGAGACAATAAAGTACTTGCTAGAATGTTCAGCATATAAAACTCAGTGGCAAGAAACCTGGCAGAAGGATATGGAAGATATGATGCATGGTTTCAACAAACTCTTGATAGATAGAAAAAAGAAGTCAGAAGAAAAAGAGATAAGTCTGGCAGTTGATAATAGAATGGAAAAAGAAAAAATGGATAAGAAAATAGCTCAACTGATGAAAAAGATCTCAAACACTGATTAGTATATACTTAGCTTCTATATGGGACTGATTGAAAAAGACATAATGAATAAGATAGTAGACTCTAAGTGTTATAGAAAGAGAATCAGTAAAGAAGCAAGAAAGTGGATAATGAAAATGCAGAAGAAAACACGTAATCACTTCAAAAAGAAAATTTGGAATGTCAGATGTGAAAAGGTGATATAGTGGGAATGGATATTAGGAATCAATAAAGGTGACAAGATTAAAAGGCCAATACATCTACAGAGACAAAGAAACAGGGCCAAAGAATCAGGAAATCGGTCATATCAAATATTATTAAAGGAAGAAGAAATAAAAAATATGATACTCAAACAGTTCCTGCAAGATAGGATAAAGTATGAAATGAAATGGTTGGATTTTAATCTCTGTCAGAACTTAAAAGAGTGATCTGCAGGTAATAATATTAGAAGTTAGAAAGGTATTTACCTGAACTCCTAACAGAGTGATAAATTACTTTCAAAGTTGCACTTAGAAAGATAAACAATCAAGACGAGAGATTTAATTAAAGAATTAGCTTTGGCATTTCATATTATATGTATAGCTTACAAATATTTAATAAAGCATACGTAACTAGCTTGACAGAGGGCAAAAATATATATATATATTATATAAATTGATTACAAGAAGATCAAATTTATATAAACAAGTAAAGTGTATTGCATGTAATTAATAGAATAAAACAATAGAATACTTGTTAGGATATTTAATTTATAAAAACCAACTTTAAGAAATATAGAATAAAAAAATAAATGGAGCTCTTAAAAACTTTAAGAAATATCTATAAGAAAAAAGAAAAGAGGTTGAAGAAAAAATTAATAGATTGAATATTAATAATTAGAAAGAGCTAGTAAAGTTTGACAAGGAAATTTCTAGACTAGTAAAACAGACCTTTATAACTAGTTAGGAAATTTCAAGTTTTTGTATTGATTTTATAAGAAAGGACCTTATTCTAGAAATAGTAGATCTAAAATATTATGGAAAATATATAAAAAAAAAAACTAAAAAATGGATAATAAAAATACAGAAAAGAATTTGCAATCAAGTTTGAAAAAGAATTTGAAATATAAGATATAAAAAGATAATAGAATGAAAACAAACTTAAAGAATTAGTAGAAAGAACAAAATAAAAAGATTTACAATTTCTTTAAATCAGAAAACTATATCTCTAATAAGAAAAGAATTATTACTGAAAAAAGAAAAGCTAGAAGATGAAAGCCTTAAAAAATTTTTTTGTAAAAAAAGTGAAATATGAAATAAGTGATTGGGATTTTTAATTCAATCAAAATATCAAAAAGTGATCTGCAATAGTAACTTGTAGGCAATGAAGTTAGTAGTTGAAAGGATTTTTATTTAAACTATTAATAAAATGATAAATCACTTTCAAAGTTGCACTTAGAATTTAAGTAAATTTAAAATAGAGATAAGTAAGTTAGATAGAGATTTAGCTTTAGCAAAACATTTAATAATGTAAAGCATACAAAGCATATATACCTAGCCTAACAAAGGGTTTAAAAAAAAAACAATAATAATAATTTTTTTTATATAAAAACCGTCTTATTATACTGTAGATATACAGTAAATGATATTTTAAATTGTTTTATTAAGATTTTATTAATTCAAAATAATATTTATATTAGTTTATATAAAAGATCGATGACCGATTCTTTTTCCTTTAAAATGATATTAGATTACGTAAGTGAAATTTTTTAAAAATGATAATCAAATGCGTATTTGATTCGTTCGATAAAATAATAAAACTCATTAAATATGCCTACAAGACATCTTTGCATTTTTAGAATTAAGCTTATTCAAAAGGGAAGTGGATTGCTTCCCTTCATCCGAGCTCAAAATAGGTATTTGCCTCGGGTAAATAGGCATACAACGTTTAAACTTTAATACTGCACTAGGCTTTCTGCAAAAATTCTGAATTTTTTTACCTTTAAGTTCCTTTCAACCAAGACTAATAACTCTGAAAATCCAAATCCAACACAAACAACCGTAACATTAGTGGATGTTAAGACAAAAAATGAAAGTGAAAATGAAAGAATTTATAAGAAATCTGACCCATTCTTTATAGATACTTTTCAAACTCCAACAAGTTCGAGAACGCAGCAAAAATTGCCACCTTCTCTTCATAAAATTGTCGTCTATATCGCTAAATTGTTTGGATACTATGATTTACCTGTACATGTTCTTGGGGTGACAAGAGAGATGTATCAATTATGCGCGAGACAATTGGAGGCAAATCGGGATTTTTACATTGATGGTAAGAAAGTCATCATCTTATTGACAAGCTTCTAAAAAATATACTAGTATTAATTATAAAGCTATCCATCAAGAATGTAGGCTACCAGATAGCTTCCAAACTTGGTTTTCAATAACACAATTGCATGTTTGGATGTTGATGGTTAGGTTCAGGGCTGAACATGACGGAAAAATTTATATGCAGCAATTAGTAAATTATTTATTTGACGATGCAGAATGGAGAATGAGAGAGATACATGGCGTATGTTCGATATTATTTGATTGTCATATAGTTTAGACATATTATGAGGCATATATTTAGCCAGTCTTTTTATAGATCACGTCGAATAGAATCATTACACAATATATGAAAGATTACCTTTCCCAATTCCATGGTGGAGTTATGTCGTATGATGAAGGATTGTGTAAAGACGATCCAGTGTTGGCAGCAGCGTTGTGGAGGTGGTTTTTTTTTTTTTTGATTTTTTTTTTTTTTTAAAAAAATGATATGACAATTTATCAAGTTTTTTTGCATTTTATAGAAATGTATTAGTTACAGAAGGGTCAGCGCATAACATAGCATGCTTGGTAAAGTACGTCAGGCACGAGCTTCAGTCATTGGATATGACGCCGTATGAGGATCTTATACAGTGTCATATTAAATTTTCTAAGCAAATTTCTACACTATAATCATTGGAAACTCTGCATGCGAAAATGATTCAATTTAAACGAATTTATCAATCAATGATTTAATCCAATATTAAAATATATCTGGTTTTCTTTTGCATAGAAGTTAGATAAATGGTCACACTTTAATCGTGTTGATAAAAATCGTCTGATGCAGTTCTTTAGCATTGATTGACATGTAAATAACATTAAGATATTATTTTAAAGGCTTTATTTTTATAGACATGATGAATTGAAATAAAAAAAAAACTACAGATTTGACCCGAATTATTATTGTTGCTTGGTTATTGTATTAATTTTTAATTTTTTTTTTTAATCCGTAGTTAGGTCAACATGGTGTATGTATGCTAAATATTTATAACTATCACATGCTAACTCACCTGTCATAGAAAAACTATTTCTCTAAATGCAACTTAGGGAATTATATTTCACTTCTTTGCTATGTTGAATTAATCATGTCAGTAAAATCATTGCATTACTGTAGATTATCCCAAGTATTGGTTGTTATTTAAAAATCAAATCACTTGATACTATGACAAATCCATTTCTTAATAATTCTTATATAATTTTTTTTTCTTTTTTCCTATCTTCTTGGATTGAATTTTCTATTGAAAGTGATATAAACTCTTTATAGTCTTGTATAATTTATATATTTAGTTATTTTTTATTTTTTAATTCTTTTTTTTCTTCAATCTTTTATATCTTTTTTTAAAAGTTCTTTTATATTTTTTGATAGAGCTTACTAATTATAGACTATATTAATATTGATAGAATTTTAAACTATTCTTTAAAATAACTCTTCAAGGATATGATTATATATTTTTATATATATTTTCATATACAGTATAGTATTAAAGAGATTTTTATTTGATTATTAGATCTTCTTTAATTAATTCTTTGTTTAATTATCAATTATTAGTAAATTTTCTCTTTATCTTTTATCTTTTTATTAATATAAAGATCTAATATTTTATATATTTTCTTTTATATATCTTTATTATGAATAGATATTTAAAAAAATAGTCTAATATCTTTTTCAAAGTTTATATATAGGATAGGTAATTTTTAGACAAATATCCAATTTTTTTTAAAAATATCTATAATATAAAAAATGCATTATAAATTAGTTTTATAAAAAAACTCTTGTACTTATTTTATTAACTTTAAAAAACATATAAATCATATTAAATAAATTTAACTAGTTTTAGAAAATTAACCAGTCTATAATTTTATTTTGCTGAATTTATTGATTCTAAATTCTTTTTTATAATATTTAATTTAATCTTTTTTTTTATTTCCTATTTTAACAATTCTTTGATACTAATATTTATTATATATTTTTTAAGCAACTGTTTTCAAGACTTTTTTTGATTTAGATAATTGATATTAAACTATTAGATTTTTATATCTAAATTGTTTTATAAAAAGATTACACATAATTATTAAACTTATTAATTTTGTGAACTTTGATCTTGCTAATTTTTAGGATGTGATTTTTTTTTAAGCTAAGTTTTAATTTTATTTTATAATAATTAATTGATATTTTTAATTTATTTTTTGTTATAATATTTATTTATAAATAAATATATTTCTATATTCTAACTGTAATATATATTTTTTTTTTTTAACTCACAGTCAGGTTAGCATAGCATGTCTTTATTATATATATACAAAGATATTTATAGAATATTTTGACTTTCATATACTAACTCACCCCTCGTCAAAAAACTATTTCTCTAGATGCAACTTAGGGAATAATATTTCGCTCCTTAACTAACTTGGATAAATCCTCTA